TTTCCTTGAAATACTAATGCCCTACTGTGTTGAATAACGTTTTTTTGGGGTTTTATTTTTGCCTTAAAAATGCATTTTTGTTCTGGTTTTATTTTTAGTCTATCACAATTCACAGTCATTAATAAGCCAATAAAAGAAAAAATATATATACATATTTTATGACTGTCTTTGTTTGAATTCAGATTGAAAATTTAATAGTAAACAAATATAAAGGAACGAAAGTTTACACCAAATAACCTTAAACGACTAATGTATGGGTGTATCTGAATGGTTCAATGTCTTGCACAAAGTAATGTTCCATTTTGGACAACTTTGTAACAAAACTAATTTGTGGTTGCACACGTTTCAAAATACAATGGCTTTTAAAGTATGAAACACTGACCTAAAGTGAAGTACCTGTTGATATTTCAAAAATTTTGGCTTAAAACCAAATAACTAGATTTTGTCAATAGATAGCACTAAACTGATGACTAGTAAAAAACCACTGTCCTGAAATGTTCAAAATTCAGCCCTATTGTACTTGTACATTCAATATATTAGTAATCATTGAAATTTCTTGTCAGTAAAGTAGAATAAAACTGAAAGGTTTCAAGAAAACAAAAACTGTGGAATGCCCACGTGTATCGAAAATGTGGAATAACTCAACTAGAGAAGCCCATGTGTATCGAAAATGTGAAACAACTCAACTAGAGAAGCCCACGTGTATCGAAAATGTGAAATAACTCAACTAGAGAAGCCCGTGTGTATCGAAAATGTGAAATAACTCAACTAGAGAAGCCTGTGTGTATCAAAAATGTGAAATAACTCAACTAGAGAAGCCCGTGTGTATCGAAAATGTGAAATAACTCAACTAGAGAAGCCCGTGTGTATCGAAAATGTGAAATAACTCAACTAGAGAAGCCCGTGTGTATCGAAAATGTGAAATAACTCAACTAGAGAACAGAAACTGAAGTTACTGTGTGTGTAAGAAATGTTTCAGTAACCCCTGAGAAAATAAAGTGGTATGTGTGTGTTGGTACACAATACTTCATTAACTCTACCGAACAAAGTGAAGTAACCATGCAGGCATGCACACACGTGTGACTACACAATTCTTCAGACACTCCTGTTTTACATAAATTTTGAAGAATTGAATTTTTTTACATCATATTTTGTAGAGAGAAAGGATTTTGTTTCACGAGTACCTCTTCTGTTTATGTTAGAAGATTACACAAATCATAAAATACAGTAAGATTAAGTAACTGGCAATATCTGTAAAGGGAAATTATTTCCTTTACAACATGTTAATAGACAACAAAGATTTAGTACATACACATAAAATTGTGAGACTTTTTTTTATTTGAAAAAACTTTAAAGACAAGTAATTAACAAACAATTTTACACAAGCCTGATTACTAGACTGGCCCCCCCAAATCAGAAAGTCTGAATAGACAAGTTAGTGCATCACTGCAGTCAATATTATTTTACCAAAACAAGAAAGTAAGAATGATGTCAAAGGTGTGTGTATGTGTTCACCAAGGAATGAAGATGAAACCAACTATATGGAACAAACAATGATTTCTTGTTCAAACAGCTAACTCAACAAAGGTTTAAAGCTCAGTTTTCCTCTTGTTCCCCTTCCTGTCCCATCCTTTCAGCTCATCAGTAGCATGTTTAGAAATGTATTTAATGAAGTCCTCTAATTCACGGCCACCCTGTAAAACAAAACATTACTCGTTATTCAAGTATTTCTTTCATTTCATCATCTTTACATTTTTTTAGGTCTAGTTTTTATTGTTTTTGAAAATATGGGAACAATTGTTTTAGTTTAGTTGTTGTTTTTCTTCAGATTTGTTAATATTGTAATCAGTAGTACTTGAATTAGAACGAAGGGAATAGAGTACCGTTAAATTTGAAAATCTTAGAGTTTAAATCAGTTATTCACAGTGGATGATTAACATTAGGTACAAAGTTACCTCATATTTTCTAGGCTTGTCCTTTTGATTTTTTGGCACCCAGTACAATGTTGGAAATCTGAAAAATTAAAAAGTTTGAAAACTCTAAGCTAAAGCTTTATCAGGCTGGCAAAGGGTAAAAAAAACCTACTTATTCCAGTTGTCTTCTACAGACTGTAGTTATTGTGTATGTACTGGCTATTCTGATTCATAACCCTTTATTATTTAAGAAAAACCTTACTTTAAAGATCCCATACACCAAGTGCATTAATTGAACAGGGCAGAAATGGTACTTGTAAAGAAAACCTTGGATAATTAATCTATAACAATAGCTCAAGTTGATAAGAAAACATTTCAAAAGCCTTCCATCTTTAGGCTTCAGGGTTTCAATGTCCTTTCTTCCCAAGACACTTTTATAAATTAATCCTCCAAGACTTTCTCTACAAGTGTCACTCAGAACTAGGCTGTTTCTGCACATTTTACCTTTGTTCATCATGAATACTCTGAATAAATCAATTATAAAACTATTAGTTTTTTAAAATCATCTTTGGAGTTTGGCTTATTGCAAAAATGGAGTTTTTATTTTCTTAATAGAAACTGGTGAGACTAAGATCTGACTGTAGTGTCTTCAGGGTATGAAAGTTAAATAAAAATTAATAATAAACTTACCCTTGTACTTCAAAACTTGGAGGAACATCATTGGCTGTAGCATCCATTTTTACAATTTCCACCCCATCTTCATTTTGTAACTGTTAAATTGAAAAGTTTGATATTGCCACAGAATAATTTTTTTTCCAAAGCAACAAATAATTTTACTACAATTTCTATGTTCTAAAAACATTAATATAACTTCATTTCATTAGCTAGAATTTACTCAACTGTTTTCAGTGCATTCTAAATTAATGCAACAAGTCAAATAGCTGTTGCTGATGTGTTTTAAAGCTTCACCACAACTGAATTATTGAACACACTTTACAAACAAGACTTGGTACAGTTCCCGAGTATTTAGACTAATCTGATGTCATCTTTAGTTGGACTGGATTATAAGACAGCTAAATAGCTTTGTTTCATCAAAAACTTTCACAAGGTTATTAGAAATCTTCAGGTGGCATAAACAAGTCTTAAAGTTGTAGAATATCAGAGTTCAGATTTGTTTAAAAATCAAAAACAAACATGTGATCTTATCCACACAGCTCCATTAATTTATAAAACATTTTTTACTAAACTATAAGTATCAAATTGTTTTGGCATCTACAACTTTATTAGCTGTATATAAAACATTTTTTACTAAAGTATATATATCAAATTGTTTTGGCATCTACAACTTTATTAGCTGTATATAAAACATTTTTACTAAAGTATATATATCGAATTGTTTTGGCATCTACAACTTTATTAGCTGTATATAAAACATTTTTACTAAAGTATATATATTGAATTGTTTGGGCATCTATGACTGTTAGCTTCTTACACAAAGTTATAACTTAATGTGATGAAATTAATAACCCCCTTTATTGACATTATCATTGACAGTATAGGTTGTAATCTTTACACTAATACAAATATCCCAAGCTGGCCAAACCTTGCAAAATATTGGGTTACAGCTGAAAATAGCATTTCAAGTAGGAATCCCTAATTGATTAAATGCATTCTAATCTTTACAAGTATAATGTAAGAAAAATATATTAAATTAGCTATACTGATTTCCAGGTTGACCTTTTAGTTTTGATCTCGATAACTATCTTGCTCTGATTGGAAGTTAATATACAGACACAGTAACTTGAGGATTGGTACAATAGTACAACTGTTGAAGTCTAAAGTCAGAACTTGTTGCTAACCTAAATGGTTTACACATTTTCTCTTGTTTTGAAACATGTTAATTGCTTTAGTAAAGTATCTATAAAACTAAAAAAAACAATAAGCCTGAGAAACCCCAGAGCTTTCAAGATAATGTGATAACAGTTTTGGTTGCTCAACATAAATGGTCAGGTAATTAGTTGACGTTACAGAACAGTTTACTCATCGGGTAACTGACCACTACAAACTATTAAGCACCTGGTTAAAGGATTACGTACAACTAAGATCTGTGGTGGGTACAACAACGTCTAGTTCATTTGAAGTAATTTCACAGAAGTATCTTAGTACTCAATACTACTAATTACATCAAGGATCTAATTATGCCAATTATACACATATTTATAAATTAAATTTACCAATTTTGTCTTGAAAAGCATTTTTTTATCATTCATTTTTCTGTCTTAAATAATATAATATTTTTTGTTGAATGACTAATTTATTTGAACTCCAAAATTACTTTTACTGAAGCCTAAATTGACTTTCACTCCTAATGGGGTAGTAAAAGATTAACATAAGCTGTTGCAACAACAAATTTGTTTACAACTTAAAATTTAATTTATGCAACTTGAAAACTGCAAATTAACACTCAAGAGCTCTGACTACACCTCCAACTAAACACTCAAGAGCTCTGACTACACCTCCAACTAAACACTCAAGAGCTCTGACCACACCTCCAACTAAACACTCAAGAGCTCTGACCACACCTCCAACTAAACACTCAAGAGCTCTGACCACACCTCCAACTAAACACTCAAGAGCTCTGACCACACCTCCAACTAAACATCCAAGAACTTAAACTATATCTCAAAATAAACATCGAGGAGCTCAGACTACAGCTACAACTAAACAATCAAGAACTTTGACCACACCTCCAACTAAACAACTGAGAACTTTAGCTATATCTATAACTAAACATCCAAGAGCTTTAGCTATACCTCTTTTCCTAGCTCTTCATATGTAGGAGCTAATTTCTTGCAGTGTCCACACCATGGTGCATAAAACTCAACTAGTATATCCTTATCATTTTCTACTACCAACTCATTGAAGTTTTCTCCCACGGCAACCTTTACAGGCCCATCATTAGATTCTGGAATTGGCTCGGACTTTGTGTGCGGCTTCAGGTTTCCATCAATTAGGTTTTGTAGAAACTTTTCAAGGTTTTCTGGGCTGCATATAAAATTTACTTTAAAGAACCCAACCACACCTCCGTACCAACACATATATAAACAACAAATATGTGATCTACGACTTGATTAAAAACATTCTACACTACCCCACTTGACAGTGTTCTTCTGTACATTATCAGAAATATTCAACCAAATTATCTAGTTTCCACAATAAAAACTAAATTTCCCTTTTACCGTTAATATTTATAAAGGAATTTGTATCATGCAAATAGGTTTTAAAAATATATTATGTCATTACTTCATTTGCAAAAGTTGGGCCTAACCTACAACATTATGATATCATGTATTTTTTATTTATTTTTAACCTCAAAATCAAAGACTTCAAGTATCAAGGACTTTCATTTTTCCAGAAAATATATAGTGTTCACAGCACAACTTAAGTTCTGTATAATTGTGATCATTGTAAGAAGCTGAGAAGCTATTTGTTAAAATCTATTAAAGATGACTTTTTTGTTGGTCTTTGGCTAGTTACCAAACAAGCATTATTAAGAAGGTGAGAGGTAATTTTTTTTTACTTTAACCTTGTAATTTTGTTTAAATGACTAGAAATAACTATTTTGTAAATTTTTAAAGAAAAACTACAGAAATCCAATATTTTGTTAATGGTTTGTAAAATACTTAATAGTCCTTTTACTATAGAAATTAATTATATTTTAAAGCTCAGAATCAGTTTATGCCAATAACAATATTTTAAGCTTTACAAGCTGATTGGCATACATTACGTTGTGCAAATTTCCATCTTAAATAAATAAAATTAAACATGCAACATCTGAGATGTTGAAGTGTACCAGGATAAAACAATCTGCCTGGTTAGCAAGGCCACAGATTCAGATCGTGCCTGTAATAAATTTCTCACTTTCATTCCAAAGTTACCTGTACTCATCTTCCATACGGAATTTTTGGCCCTTCTCATCCCTTGCTCCAAACACTGGTTTATCATCCTTAGCAGTGAGATCAAACTCGCTCATCTCGCCAGCAAACTCATTCTTGCTACTCACAGCAAAGTTCAACTTATTCTTAAACTTCTCGGCTACCTTCATAATCCGGTTACGCCAGTAATTTGTACCTTAAAACGGTTAAAATAAAAAAGCTTGTTTAATATCTAAATAAATCACTGTCCACATACTTTAATTTTTGTTATATGCTCAAAATATACTTTTCAAAGAATAAACCTTTAATATTTCCATTTATAAAGATCATATAATGTGGGTGTCAAACAATAATTACTGTTAAATACTCTTTCTATTTTAGCTGTTTGTATTATATCTGATCTTTTATGGTTTTATGTTTGTTGTGACAAGCCCAAAAACATTACATTTTTATTATCTAACCTCTTCCAGATCTTTGATATATCACATATTTTTTATACAAAGACACAGTTTCTCAAAAACTAATATCTTCGTAACAAGATTAATATGCTGAAATATTCAGTTTTTGAATTTTGTTTTAATATAAATTGCAACAAAATGTTTTTGGACGAAATAATTTTAACAAATCCAAATTACTGACCATGAAAGTAATTTTTATTTGGAGGTAGAAATATTTACAGTTCCCATCTCTGCGGGCAAAAGCTTGTCAAAAACAGCATTATGTACGTTTATTGATAATCTTTTTAGTGATTTTTATTTATTTATTTTTTAAAGTTACTGATGTCAAATTTTTTTTCTTTGTACAAATTCCAGACAGCTAAAAACCATAATTATATTGTCCAAAACTTAGTGTTATTTTCTTTCTGAGACCTGTTTGTTGTAAAGCCTTCTTTCTTCCATCATTGTCCAAGATTTCCTGCACTTCACAATAAATCATCCTTCTTCATCACGGTTTTGTGTTTGTGTGTTAGGTAACATTTACTCCACTGGTTCCTCTGTTTATTTTGGTGAGCTATTTACTTTGACAACTGCTCTTTGCTGAATGCTAACCGAGTTATTCATATATTAGTTGTAGTGATATTTTACAACAAATTCTAACCACCGGGCAACACTAAAATACCTTAATTAAAACGTATTTCACTACAGATAAGCTAGGAGTGAGTTCAATTTACCTTCATGAGAGATGTAACTGACTTAAATGAAAATACATTACCAACATCAAGATAAAATAGTACAGATTTTTCCCAAAATAGTTAATGAAAACAAACCTTTCGTATTTTTGTCATAGTCAACATTGAAATAAGCCACAACTAGAGGTGATTTAAACTGTAGAAAGTTTTCTTGTGTCCTGTGACCAGCAAGACCGTGACTGCAGATGCATGAGAGAGAAAAAAAAATACAAAAATAAATTTTGAGAAAATAATTGCAATAATAATGTATAATACCATCAAATTCTATTCACTAAAGTTATACGAAAACAAATATACGGGTCACTTTATTCTCCACCACAAGATGAGTCAGTGCTCATCATTCTAGCACTAGTCAAGATTCTCTTAACTTCAACAATAGATATTTAAAAGTCACATATTCCATATTAAAACAACTATTATGGCAAACTGAATGAAGCTATAACTAAGGTTTTCTAAAGTTCCAAGATAAGAAAAAAATGTCCAGTTTCACACCAAATTTGTCTCCCATTTTCCAAGTAGCCAATTAAAATATAAATTAGTATGCTTCTAAGTTCCATGTTTAGTTAACACTATCATAGATAAAATAAGTATCAAAAAATGCAGGCATTGGAACAAGGTAAATTTATTACTAAAAATACTTCATATTGTTTTTTACAAACCAAGAATATTTATACAATCTGTGAAAAACAGACCACTGAAATAAGTAGCAAGTTCAGTGCTATACGCTTGAAATTAATTCAGAGAGGTTTTGTTTTAAAGCATACTCTGAACAATTTTAAGTACAGATGATTACTATAATTGTGGCTAGCAAGATCGTTTCAGTGACATTTTGTAATCCCCATTTGAGCTGCATGACGCACCCACACTAAATGTAGACTTTGTTGGTCATGGGTCCAGATACACCATTTTTTGCTCAAATTGAGCATTCTTTAACTTTTGTGAAATAATTAAAATAAAATATTGATACATAAACTTAAAATGAGTTTTAATATTCAAAAATATTTGGAAGAAAAAAAAAAACATGACACAGAATATTAACACACACACACACACATATATATATATATATATATATAT